GCCGTGTGTTACTATTACAGGTATAGTGTTAAACAGTTCCGATATCCAATAACGCAAGAAAGTTAGGACATAGATGACGGCAACCTTACCAATCCCCTCACTATTTTTCATATTCTAAAGTAAAAGAACTAAATACTACGAGGCCACATTGTAATTTCAAAGCACTCATTTAATACACGCGACTCTACTACCGTTTTATTTAATGCCACATAGGCGCTAATTTTGCAGCTGCCAAAAAGCAAGAATTTCAGGGAAAGTCCAAACCAATCATTTTATCGTTAAACTTAATTAAGACGATATAAGGCATATCTGATTATTATTATCATTAGTTATTGCTTCGTAATAATCCAACTGTTGCTATTAAACTGTGGTGCTACGCTTTATTACAGTTAGCTTGCAAAATAAGGCACTTGGCAAATAATAATGGCTCCAGTTTCTGCTACCTGCAAAGTAACTCACAGCGTCAAGGTTCTTGGTGATTTGGACTCTGGAATTTAAGGTATATTGTCTCTAATGATAGCTTCGACAAAACATTTGACACCTATTACAGGTGGATATAGAATCCACGACCATTGCTACCATGAGTCAATTATCCAAAGCCGAAATTGTTGAGATTGTATTTCACATACTATGAAGTGAACTCCACCCTATTATATCAAGAAAAAAAGCCGTAGTCTATTTGTCTATACGTTCTTCTTTTTATGTATAAACTGAATAATTAGGAGGATAAGTCATTTCAGTTTCATAATGTAGACCTAAAAATCACGAAAAGATTATATTTCACTCGCCACAACAACAACTAAGTAACAAACAACCACTGTCTGGCTAATTCCTTGTATTTCGTTTTCTCCTAAATCTATTCGAATCTTCTTTACGGTTGTTTTCTGTTGGCCATTTGTTCATTACATAGAATGTTACTACTGTCGGAGTACGCTGGCGCGTGACATGATATTGCATAACATTGCAAGCTCAAGCGCAGGTGTTTATGACTATTGTAGTCTCCGGTGACAAATACAATGCATACTTGAATATTATGTCATGAGATAATCATACGATACCATTCTTGAGTATCTAGCTTCTGAGACGTGAGACCTATAATAGTAATTTTATTTCTAATATATCTCATAAGTAAACACTTAACTGCACAAACAATAAGAAATGACATTATTAAATAAACGTTATTTTAAATAAAACTTGCATCTGAAACGTCGGGCCGAAGTAATATAAAGTAAAAATAATTTTTAAACGTTTTAAAACGTTTAATATTATTAAAGTGTTTTATTCAAATATGTATTACTCGCGTAAACTACAGACACTGTTTAAAAACAAACTTACATAAAAAGTGCATAGACGACCTTATCGACTATGGCGAATTCTTCCAAGCAAGCTTTGTTTACAGGAGATAGAAACAAGAATCCCTTAAAGAGTAAACGTAAAAAAAAAAATAGAAGATAGCACACAATAAAATATAATAATACTAAATTCTAATATAACAAAAATCGTATGCATACGGACACAATAAGACACTAAATACAACATATTCTAACAGGGCGAAATACAACGTATTCTAAAGATCGTAAACTGAGAATAGAAAACTGAGGCAAACGCGAATAAAACATGGTTTTGTCAACCATTTTTGGAAATAAGTATATTAACTTAATTTTTCAGCAGAACTTGTCACTGATGATGACTAACACATGCAAATATGGGTATGAGAAGAGGCAGTTTGACAAATGCATACGATTAATTTTTAATATTTTCGTTAAGTACTTAAGTTAATTAGAAAAAACCACTTTTAGTTAAATAAGTCCCAAATTTTGTCCTTCGTATCATTCGTCCTCAAAACGTTTGAAGGCTAAAATATTGTATAAAAAGCGATGAGCGCCTTGACATCGAGATCAAACAAAATCTAAAACAAGAGCGCAGGTGTCGTAACAAAGACTCGATTTGACAGCCCTTACTGAGCGGCTGTCCTTGAAGGTCGTCCTGGGTCCTTTTTTGTAACAAAAATTGCCCTTACGTAGAGTAATTTCTTTTAGAGACTTTTAAATTTCGATGAACTTAAAATTATCGCTAATGTTTGGCAAAGAAGGAGGTTGCCAACATAATGGCATGTGCATGTTGTAAGTGTTTTCCACAATTTTTTTTTGCATTTATTTTAAGTTTAAGCAACATATGTCTGTAATTGTGATAAAATGTCGACAGCCCTTATCTAATAAATAAAAAATAAATAATATTTTCAATCACTAAGTACGAAAAAACAATATATTGTTATTGTGTAAAATATATAGTTATATTAGCTTATAGTTATTTTTTTATTTAGTTGGTAATTTTTGAGCTAAATTTACCTGACCTAATTTTAAAATTAAACTTAATAATAACACCAGTGTCGACACTACTTAATATTTATAAGATAAATGTTGTTTAGCGACATCTCGTTCTAAATACAGTAAACTAAAATATTATCTGTCGTCGTGTTACTCTGTATCAGTGAGAGTGGAGTGATTTTTGCTCCACACGTCTTGTCGGGGTAATAACCGCGTTATGCTATACGTCTGCGCTTTGTTTTAAAATACAGCCTCTTTCAGCGACATCTAGTTGACAAAAGAATACAGATTATTATGCAAATAAGTCAGCATCTTATTATTATGGAAAACGTAATTTACCAAACGAGGGAAAAAGATTTACTTATTATAAACGGAAAATATACTATAAAAAGTAATTTTAAACAACGACGCTACGTTTCGAATGCAGTCTCGGTCACAGGGTCACATGTGACCCAAATAATCAGTTTATCATAAATATAATATGACATTTTAATATAGTTTTAGTAAGGTATTTAAACAGAATTTGTTGGTAGTAAAGGACAATCCGCATTCATAATAATATATATTACATTACATTCATTGTTTAATTATTTATTTTAGAGACTGTTAACAGAAAACCTAAGTTCCTAGTAATAAAATCAGATCTGCCCCTTCTCAGAAAAAAAAACAATGCAAAAAAGTGCATTATAATTACAAATTCGTTTCATAGAAGACGACTTCATAATTTGCGCTTTTAATATTCAAAGGAGATCTCGGTAGAGGATTACTTAGAATTTTGTTATAAGGATTGTAGACTAAGAGTTGACGCTTTGTTTTTTTTAAATTAAATTTAAGTATTTAATTTAATACGTATATTGTCTTATTGACGTATAAGTGTAAGATCAAAAATAATTTACTAAATATACTACGCAGTTTGTGTACTAAAAATATTATTTAAAAAATAGAGCGGTAAAAATATAATACTATTAGTATAAAGTGATGGTAACTATAACAATAGGTTTTTAGACATAACCATAAAATAATAAAGCTCGTTGATTTGAAATAAGAAAATTTTTACTTTGTATGGACTTGTAAATTTTGATACTATTTTATAAAGACGAACAAGTCAGCTCTCAGTCTATAATAATGTTACAATAAAAAAGCTAAAGGTCGTTGGGTTAGCTGTAAAGTTTTTATGGGCTTTCTATAACGTTATAGCGCATTGTGAGGGAAGGTCGGTGCCTATAAAGTACGTAATAAAGAGTGTATAAAGTTCCTAGTTTATTTGCTTCGGTTTTGTTGTACTTTACATAATTGCGTGTAAGTGGTTAATCTTGTGAATTACCCGAGATGAGTTGTATAAAAACTAGCTTTTTCCATTCATATGATCCTGGTATTAATTGTATACGTAACTAAAGGGATTTTAATACACACATATTTTGTTATCCTTTAAATGTTTTATTAAAAAAACAAACACGTTAACTATTTATTGCGTATTTATGTAAGCATATTTATTATACAACATTGTATTCATGAATTGTAATAAGCTTAGTAGTTCAATTAGTATTTGAAATCTTTATTATTTTTTACATGTTTGTACATGAAGACACTATATAATTTTAAAAAGGAAAATAAATTGAAATAAAACGAGCAACAGCACGGAACGCTGACGATGCCGGTTCAAGTCCTGCCCGAGTCGAAAATGTTTTCAATTTATTTTCGATTTTTTTAAGTTCAATTAGTAGTTAAACTAATATACTTCGCGTTTTAAGCCGTCAAAAATTTTATTTAAACAAGCCATATTAACTGGGTATTAAATGACCGCAGTAAACCATCTTTCCTTAAGTGAAATACATGATAAGCATCGCCTGAACAAGGCTATACATAAACAATTTTTATATCCTCCAGCAACAAAATTGCACAGTTTTTCGTCCTTTTGCACGACCGTTGTTATGTTGAGAATACGATAATTATGTGCTCATAGCATAGATTACATCAGCGAAGCGTTTTATAGATTTTCCCCTCGATACAATGCAATAAACTTGTTATACAAGCGACCACACAGGATTGTAATCTTAAGCCTTGATATTAATATTCAGATTAATGATTAATCTTAGTTAATGATTAGGAAATTTGTTACGCTACACCCTTGGTGTACAGTTGTTTATTTAATGTGTATTGGGAATACATTAAACATTATGTTTTAAGTATCGATAGTTAGGAGCCATAGGGCACTTACGTTAAAAAGAAAGTAAAACATATTATATTCAACTGCAGAAACTTGTTTTTAAATAGGTCCTGAGTTAAATATTGTCGATCTTTTTAAAGGCTCACTCTTTGTTTCATAAAAAAATTAAATATTTAAAAAAAGTATAGTGGAGACATGGGAGTAGATGCGAATAAGATTAGTAAGCACTTGCTTGTTAATTTTAGTTTTAATTTTAATAACTCAGTCATTTTTATGATATACTATTTTTTATTTATATGATCATCTAATAACAATCGTTTTAGCGGCTAGGCTATCTCACGTTAAAAAATTAAACACGCGAAATGTATTAGTTACCTACCTACCATTTACAATTTATTTTAACTACGACCCGATGTTCGGTTGCTTTGCAGCAACCGTAGTCAAACAATATAATATAAGTAAGTAAAAGTTCTACTACAGATAATACTATATTTATTCTTCCACAGGGTGGTTCTCAACATGTAGTTGCCGGGGCGGAGCGCTGGCAACACCAAGGGGCTCCATCGCCGCTCTTCTGCGGAATAGAGCTTTCGCCCTCGTTTCTCCTCGCGCCATTTCTGCATATCGGGCGCGGCCAGCTTCGGGTATGTCCAAAATTCTTTGTTTTTTTTTAAATTAATTTGTCAATATTGTTATTTAATATAACTAAATAGAATTAGTATAATATAGTTTAATTGTGCATTTAAGTTTACTTGCACATATTTTATACCTTTTTTATAGCAATGTTGTGCCTACCTTTAATGTAAATACATAAACTCGGTAGTTCAATTGGTTAGAACAACAGCACGGAACGCTGTGAATGTCGGTTCAAGTCCTGCCCGAGTCGTACATTTTTTCAATTTATATATACATTTTAAAATTGTCTTTTAGGTAGAAATATAAACAACAACTGGCGATGGAGATATTTGTTATTTAATTGAGCTCGATCTTCACATCCTACCCCTTGTTGAAGTTATTTTCTTGCAGAGACTGGCCGCGTGGGGGCACAGTACGAGCGAGCAGCAGCACGACCTGGCACCCCGTTGCGGCTGGCCGGAGTCTTCGCTGACGGCAGCAAGGCAAAAGCACCCAAATATGCACAACTCATCGACCCACAGGGAAATGTAAGTATTATCATCATTATTTCTCGTGTTAGTAAAAAAAGCCTACAGTTCTCGGGAGGAAACATCGCTGTTCGTTTGAACTCCTAAAATCTCATCTTATTTTGCAATAAAAACCTGATGGACACTTAATGCAATATGCTTCATTATGCACACATACGAATAGCTTTTGTTTCTATTGGATAATACTCTTTTTTATCAAATGGATTTTTTTATAAGAAAACAAAATACATATGTTAAAATATGTTCTTTCGAATTGAAACGATAGTATCGGAGGACAGAAGGTGAAATACGGAAATGGGATGTGGACCTATTTTAGCTTAGGATAGTCAGAAATACACAGACTAAAACCGATATCATCATCATCTGTGGACGATTTAAAATCCAGATTACCAAACGTAATATATAGTATTTCAGAAAAAAATAGATTAGACCAAATAACATGGACCCGGTGGGGATCGAACTCGAATTAGTATACATATTTTGCAATTAGACCAACGAACCTGTTTAAAGTTTGTTTTTAACTTTAAAGATTAATTTTCACTAACTAAATTATTATACGTGCTTGTATTGCATAAAGATGTTTATGTTTTTCCTATAATAGCTTATACCGAAACGGATAGCTCGTAATTTTAACACATTAAAGCAGGCATATTTTACTACTCTTAGGTGTAAAGTAAGAAGAACGTAACCGTTATTATGGAAGTAACACATACTACCTAATAAGTGATATTACTAAACTATACAAAGTTGTATAGGGTTTTCCTTGACCGGTCTTAAACAAAAGCTATGAGTAAGTACTATTATGTGTACAATTATTTGTGTTGTATAGTATGTTTGTAAAGAAAATAATGTATGATTTTTTGACACAAAAAAAAGAAAAACATTACTGATCGATAAGACCGGCTTTAAAAGACATTATCAAACCGATGCCAATATAACCGCATACAGTGATTCGATGTAATGAATAACTTATCACAGATCGTTTGCACACGCATACCTACTTTTCTCTCAAAAGTGCTATTGTGTTTCCCCAATCAGCAAATAAACGAAAAAAAAGTGAAAACCCGCTTCCCCATCGTGGGGCATGGGGCGAACACATTTCTGTGTCCGTTTCATCGATCCGTTCTTTTAACGGGTAAGTAGTTGATCAGACTTTTGTGCCCTACCCGACCGAAACAATTTTTTTTTGTTTCCCTGGGATTCGAACCCAGGACCTCTCGCGCTCAACGCAATGCTAGGCAATACGTTTAACCATTTGGCTACAGAGGCGGCTTAAATAAACAAAATACCAAAGAATTTTTTTTCAAAGTTAAAACGCATGTTAGCTCAATATATCTCAACTATACATACGTGCATCCAAACAAAGACTAATTCATCTCAACTGAATCCACTGTAGAATTATATAAATTCTATTCGAATAAAAAGATTAACAGCCTACTCTCTGGAGTTCGCAACAAAAAAGTACAAAACCATTTTCTGCAATGAAACTAATCATCCCAGATACAAACCTTAGCACGGTCCGTGGAACGAAGGAATTTTATTTCAGTATCGAAGCTGGCCGTTATTACAGACATCTATTAATCAACTCCTCACAGGATTCACGTCTAGGAACAATGCAAAACAAAAATCAAGAGCCCCTACCATTCGTTCTCGATTCGTTATTATCGGGCCGTAAATCGGTATAAACTCACGCGGCTTATACGAGAATTTCGCGATGTAATCTTTTCTAGTTTAAATTGATCCGGTGCTCTTAAATTAATATTACTGGTCATGTGAAATAAGTATTTTATATAAGGTTTAGTTGGATACGAAACTTATTTAGGTATAGAATAAGTTTAAGCACTGAAATATACATAAATATTGTGAAAAAATATTATTAATGAAATTTACTTTAACATTACCTCAGACATTTTTGTAATTAAAAGTTAAGTTAACTACAAGAATATTTTAAAGTTGGATTAATGCCCCCTTCGAATCGAGTCTCGATCGTAATCGTCGAAGCAATTTATTTAAAGTCTTTTTATTACACACCTGTGATCTTAATTATAAAAGTTTATTGCGAGGATGTGAGTTTTCTCCTTTTGTGTTGAATAAAATAAAACAGCGTCGGAAGCTCGTATCGATTTGTAAGTCTTACGACCGCACTCAGAGACAATTAATGTTTATTTTTGCTAACCACATACGCGTTATAAAATAAGACAAAGATGCCATTTATGTAATTTAGAGACGGAATTTTAGTCTTAAAGTTAATTGATGTGTTTTTTTAACGGGTATGTAGGTACTCAATGCAAACTAACTTTTAAAAGAACGAAACATTTATACGTACTATTAAAGCTTATAGTCACAATATATCACGAAAAAAACCTAATTTTAGTAAATTAGTAGAGATTTCGAAATATAAGCAAGTAATCATATTTTATTTTTAACCGTTTTAAGTCGTCACATGATACATAATATTAGACATAAATAATTATTAATTTACTTCTGCTTTGTCTTATTTTATGGCCTCGGTCACCTCGTACTAGGCACACTCATCATTCTATTAACATTTCGAAATTAAGAACTCTAACATCGCTTCCTTAAACATAAATTCTAATTCTAAACAATGATTGTCATTTTCAACGTGCACTCGTACGGTGTACGTCTTAAAATTTCATAGCCACATAAAATAGCGATCAAACTGACATTACGCGTTCGAAATTCAAAAACGAACGACTAGATTTTACACTCAAAAGAACATTAACTCTTTCTTTATTTTCATTCGACAACCCATAGTAAGGCTCAGCAGGTAAGGATCACACAATGTTACCCTGTAGCGAAACTTGCGATTATAAGCCTTGGTTCTTTAGATATAGAAGTTACAGCGATACCTAAATAAAGTAAAGAATTCAAATCGAAGGCAGAGTTAGTGTTGCGCTTGAGACAAGGTAAACGAACCTTATTCCATTGTAATAGCGATGTTTTTCTAACAATGGACTGCAGTATATTTCTGCAATATGAGGGCAGTGTCCTTTGTGAACCGCGTTGTTAGGACGAAGGTATAGGGGTGTCACGATTTTTGTTTCTTTTTCTTCTTTGAGACGAGAGCGTTGAGGTCGGAACGTCTAGTTATTTTAGTCGAGGGACTTTTTGGAAAATATAGTTCTTCATACTCTTCTTTATCATCATCTACGACTATTTATAGCCTTCGTCGATTTAATAGTTTTGCACTAAGCACGACCGGTCCCCCTTTCGAGTACCGGGAATGCAGCCAATTATAAAAAATATGTTTTGGTTGGAATAAGAGGTACTGATGAGAAAGACCGTGGATTCCAATTTTAGAGGGAACATAATTGTTTTATTAGGGCATACACCAAAAAAAAAAAAAGAAAAAAAAAAAAAAACCCCTGCCCAAAACTGGGGGGGGGGAGATATCTATTTAAAATGTAGGGGGTATGATCTTTAATTGTGCCTTATTATAAATATAAGACTCACAGGTCACTTCAGTTTGGAGACATTAAAAACTTTTACTTCTTTCTTGTTTGATTATGACATAATCATAATCTCACTATTAAATCACAATAACTTCATAAAGATCTCTTTTCAACATTGTGATGAAAAAGACTATACTGTAAATCCCCAGTCATATAACATATTAAATCATTCAATTCGACTCCTCGGAATGGTCTAGATCCATTTGTTACCTGGCAGAGGTCGTTTCTTTTTATCGGCGAATAAGAGCGAACCCGGGTAACTAATAGCTTTCTTGACCTTGCGAAGGTCGACGTAATAACTTCGAACTATACGGAGGATTGTAAGGACCAATTTTCTGTTATATATAATAGTGTGTTAATTATACTAGGTGCATAATTAATAATTGGATTGGATTTAAGGTTAATTAGTAAATTATTTGTTATATAATATAATTTAAAGTTGAATCACTCTTTAAAAGCATCGGGCCGGAGTAAAAATAAATTAATAATTAGTAACTTATACAAAAGTATAACGCAAATCGGTGAAAGTGTCTTATTTAAAATATTTTTTTATTTATATAAGTACAATTCTATGGTTCTGAAGTGTATAGGTGAACGTTGCACCAATATTGGGCATAAATCTATACTAATATAGCTTTATAGCTAATGAGGAGTTTGTTTGTTTGTTTGAACTCGCTAATCTCAGGAACCACGTGCTCGAATTGATTTTTTTTTTTGTGTTGGTTAGATCATTTATCTTCATGATACATATAGGTAAGATACAGCGGGAAATGTGAACAAAATTGGGAAAAATGTTAATTATTATTTGTTTCCGAGGCGTACGCTGCAAAACCGCGTCAAGATACCTTAAAAAAATTAATGAAAGAATGATCCCTCTTTAAATGATCTAAAAAAATTAAAGTAAAATTAAAGCTATACATTTTTAGTTTATCATACTATCCCAATTTGGAGTAGTTGTAATGTCTTCACTTACCAGTGCTTTGACGATATCGAGTTTGTGCCGTATTCTGTTTATTTTTTAATGATTATCAGATTGTGCCAAGTGCATAAATTGGTAACGGTTTTATTGATTAATTGATTCTTAGGAGATCTGATACAATTGCAACATTCATTAAAAATATCGTAATTGCTTGTTATCATCTTCTGTGTTATGAAATTCAAATACATAGTGTTAGTGGTTTATGTACTTGCCGAGGGATCGTTAGTTCGATTTTCGGTCTCAAATCCGGTAAGGAAAACCGACTGTTTGGTCATGGAGGATGAGTATTCTTATAGCTGTTGAGAACTACCTGAATTAAATAAAACCAACAGAGGTTTTATAAAAATCAAAAAATTACTACACAAAGCTTCTAAGAACTATATTTAAATCTTAATAAATATATTCGAAGATTGCGCCCATTTGAATAAAAACTATCCATCAATACTTAATTAGATAGGACAATCACAAACAAAAGTCACATCATAAATTCTCACTAATGAACAAACAATTGATTGAATGCAGGAATGTTCAGCTGTGCCTAATAGGAA